AAAAAGTTTACCTCTGGGCTTCTGCTTCTTGTGTTACTTCTGTTTTGAGAAAACAAGCATGTATCACCTGTCTGTAGCCTATTAATGTTGTCTAGGCATTTCTTATCTCTGCTCACTGCTGAATTTCACTCGTTAGTACTCAGGATATGCACAACCAAAGTCCTACTTAAACTCAGCATGAAGTGGGTCACGGGCCCATGGTGGGCCAGTTCCACAGGAGGTGGTTTCACTATAGGACTAGAGTAGGATTTTAACTGGCTCTTAAACAGGGGTGAAAACTTTGTTGTATCCTCTGACCTGCTGCCCAGAGTAGTCATCATGTACCTCTGCCACCCTCTTAAACTATCTCAAGGACCTGATGTGCCAAGATTATTATAGTGCAAAACTTTATCTTTTTAGCAATTTCTTCAATTTGCATAAGGATGTTAGCATGTCTGAGCTTGATGGTTATAGAATGAAAATAAAATGGGTCAGGAAATGCTGTAGTTAAAGGTGACATAAGAATTGTATCTATACAACGTATATACACTGGCAAAAAGTTGGCAAGCTCATAGATTGTAACCATGCAGAAAATGCAATGCATATATGATAACCTTCTTCAGTTCAAAGATAACCTAAACTGATGTGTTTCTGGCTATTTTTCTCTCCCCTCCAACATACTTGTTTTTCAGAGTTTGCCTTTGCATTCCTAAAGTTGTAACTTTAACATTGCATAGAAATAACAGAAAGAAAGAACTGGAATCATGTGATTGGTTTTTGATGTTTTTTTCAAGTAATTATTTACATTTTTCAACCATAAACTTTGTGGGTTTATTTAAAATGTGACTACATCGTCACATATAGGTAGCATAATAATTGAAAATCAGATTTCATGCTTCGTATTTTTAACTCCACATTACAGCAGAACTTGTCTTAGCCAACCAATAAAAGGATGAAAAAAAAATACATCTTTAACTAGATGGGTCTTTAACAAAGGTGAAGTAGACTTTTCGTGAATTAGCAAAGGGATAATTTTGAATAACCTCTGGAGATAGTAAATTGACTAATACTTGGAGTAGTTTTGTTGTAGCTAAGGAGGAGTTCTTTGAAGATAAATGAATTCTGTTTTTATATCTCTTGTGCTTATTAAATATGAAGTATAGTACAAAAGCTGCGATGCAAAGAATAACTCTCTCACTGGGCTGCATCAGTCAATTCACTGTCTAAAGACATTGTTCTTCAAATGCATCAAGTACCTAAACCCACTAAGTAATGAAAATGTCAATAATTGTTTTGTTATCTAAATTTTATGAAACGTGGACAACTGCAATTATTTTACTTCAAATGGCTGAAGGTTGTTGTTACTTATTTCCTTTTTAGACTATTAAAAAAAATCTAACTTATTTACTGTGGCACTCCTTTGATCATCATATACTTATGTAATTACATAGTTCAGCTGAAAAAATACATCACAAAAACTCTTCACTGTTTATAACGAGCAGTCTTTAAAATTCACCCTTCTTTTTCCACGCTGGCCAGTTAAAGACTTTATCCATTCAAATGGACAGCTTCATAATTATTTTTTTTTCTAACTATAAAGCATGAGCTATTTTCAGCCCACTCAAGGAAAGTCATGGTGTATAGTATCAAAGACTTTGATTTGTTGCTGGCATATGCATAGCAAAATGTCATCTTGTCCTGTTTTTAATGGTCATGGCCAGAGAATGCCAGATCATTACTGACTTAGATCACTGATTTCTTCACACTCAAAATCACTTCAGTAAACAAAAGCAGAGAACATATATTGAATTTTAGTTCTGAAGAACAGTATCTCAGACTGAGCCTTCTCTTTTCTCTGAAAAGTCAATCAGATTAGTAGTGTGCACTTACACAGCTCTCAATGAATATAAACTAGAAGGAAGTTGTCTATATGATCTGCAGAATTGTACAGTCAACTCTCACTTGTCTGTGGGTGTGTAACTCAGGTTGCAGATTAGCAGTGCTATGCTAAAACAAAGCATAAAAAAAGGGAAAACACCCACCCTTTTTCTTTGAATTTCTGATCTCACTTTTTACTTCAGCTTAACTTCATTCCTCGATAAATGTAATAAACACAGGAAGTTCTTATCTAATGTGCATATGCTTTGTATTACCTGAGTTTTAGCTTTATGGGGGTTAGTCTGCTCCATTTCTATTATCAATAATTGAGAACTGACTGTGTAACTATGAAAGAGCTCAGCAACCCACAGTGTTATTCGACATTTGCTAAAAAACAATTGTTTGTCAAAATACCTCTTTAATTCACCTCAAAAATCATCAGAGTTCCCTTTTACATTATTTTTCAAACCCATGAGTAATAACAGCTTGCTGCAATACTGGACTCCTATTAATATAAGTAAAATGTTCACATGCTTGAAAGGAAAAGCAAAGACAATACCAGTGAACAAACTCAATGCACCTAAAAAGGAGATGGATACAGTGGGCTCCTCTGCCCCCACGGCCTAGAGACTGATGGAAAGCCATTTTATAATAATATTTTGTAGCTGTACAAAACCCCTTTTCTTAATTGGCTAACTGTACATTTTATTCATTTAGAGAGTCATTAGCACCGAATATGCTTTAAAAAAATCACATGCTATTGGGCAATGCAACAATAACAGTGGTTTCTTTGTGAAGGATTTGGGAGAGGGGAGGTTGTTTCCTGCTGCCCCCTCCCCATTCTCATTTTCCCCCACATAACCTAGATAGCACCTACTTCACAGCTAAAGCCAAAAGACAGAGCTACCCTGTGCGCTAGCCAAGCGCTGTGGAATGACAACCCCACGAACTACAAAGGCAGCTGGAAGGAACTCTCTCTGTCTTCAGGAAGGCAACTCAGACATGGAAAAACCTTGGGAAGCTGCTGCAGGAGCTAATCTACTGGTGAGGAGGGATGGCTGAGACACTTCTTGAGCAGAAGAAATGTAAGACTTAGTATATGAAAGATTTAATCTTGAAGAAGGATTGATGAAGAGGCTGCCAAAGGGCCAGTGGGGCAACAGAGGGCAGGAAAGCAACAAGGGCAGACAGCCTTTTCCAGGGAATCTGTTCTTCCCCTTTTTTTTTTGCCACCAGGAAAATTAAAACTACTATCTTCACATTACCCATTAGCATTAAAGACCAATGCAGATATAAAATAGTGTGATATTCTTTGCTATTCTGAAAGGAAGAGTAACCCACCAGTCCTGTACTCTAACTTGGAAATAGCTTAACTCTTGTACTAAAACGAAAACAAAAGTCTTTTCATATTGTGACACAACAGTGTACTGAATTGGAATAAACCTTCTTGCTCCTTTTAATTTATACCCTAATACATTAGGTTTGATATGCTGACTAGGATCAAAATGACATCGATGACAAAAACTGCAAGCTCTGCTGTAACTCATGTATATATATACACATAATTCTTGTAGGAATCTCTCTAAACTACTTGACATCCTGTGCCAGTGAGTTCCACTGAGTAATAACTTTGCATAAAACGTTACTTCGTATCTTGCCCTTTAATTTCACTGAACTTCCCCTTGTTCTTTTAACACTGGAGAAAGTAAAAGGAAATACTTCTGTCACAAAACTTCTTACTGGAACAATTATAAAAATTGACTTAACAAAAAGTACCTCTCCTCTGTCAGGTAGTAATACAATTGCATATTTTTCAGTTAGCCAAAGAAATTATAATCATATCAAAAGAAAAACATTTAGCAAAATATTTGCTTTCAGACTTGTTTACTGTTTATTATTTTAATTTACATCAGTTACTGCTTGCAAAACTTCCAGGGAAATAATTTTAAATTGTTCTTTTTTTTTTTCCCCACTGCATAGTAAATACAGCCTTCTTAGTATTTCAGAAGCATAGTACTATAGAAATGTTAGAGCCTGCTTCTGCTCCAAAGAAAGTTTAATGGAAAAACACCAACTGACTTTATTAGGAGTTAGGTCAGGCCCCAAATTCGCAGCTTTTGAAATTTCATAGTTGAAAATTTTCTGGCTAATCTTCAGAACTGACTACTTCTACAACTATAACACTATTTACAACTTTATTTATATGTACTTCTTTATTACAATATGTAATATCAATGTTCCTTGTAAAGGTTACTATTTTATAGAAATTAGACTGAAGTTATTGCCAATCAACCTTTTAATAAACTTAAGTGGGATAACTTTCAGAATTTTTCTCAACATACGATTCAGTTTTTATTCACTCTTGCTATCTTTGACAATTGCTTAACTACCTTAATTTCAAAGCCTTTTTGGGTGTAATAAAAAAGTCCTTTTGGTAGAAGTTTATTGGTCCCGTTTCAAATTATGTTCTGAAACATTCTTGTACTCATGAGGACTCATTATTTTAGCAATTTTTCTGTTTCAACACAGTATATAAAGCCATGCCTCTCAACCAATCAACCTCAGTATAAAAGTGTAAGTGAGGTCAAACAGATTGCTCACTAAATCTTTGATCAAGTTGTCTGATCACATATAGACACAACTCTCTGAATTGTTGCATATGTTGTATAATGTTATCATACAAATTTAAGCATTTCCATTATTGACTGCTGCTTGTGTATGTATATATTAACTTGCTGGTCATAAAACTACAACAAAGGACAAGATATATCAATACTGAATTAAGACCTCTAGTCTTGTCTCTCCAAAAATTAAGAAAAATCTGTGTTCTTTATGATCGACCAACTCATGATGTTGTGCTTCAAATATACACATTTTCCAAAATTAAACTGTGGGGTTAATGTCAAATACTGTGTTGTAACTTTAAATATAACTGACATATTAGAACAGATAGATGGGTAATTATGATAAACTACACAATAGTGCTACTGTAGATAATATCATTTATCAATCCTGTGGTCCCCATCATTCATGCATTTACAGTTTGGGAATACAGTGACTGCAAAGGATAATAATTCATAATGGCTACATTCTCAGTACTTCATGCTAGCTCACTAGACAAAATAAAAAAGGTTAATTGTATAACTGGAAAAATGTAAAATTTTATTCCAAGAAAATTAACAAGCTACACAGGTAAATTTTGGCAAATGCAACTTTATATTGAAATCCACACATCTGTATCTTAAAGAAGGAAAGACTCACAGACTCTAATGTATTTCTAAAATACTAAGAAATCATATTATATGCTTTCACAAGTTAAAACTTAAATAATTTAAAACAACCAATACACCAAAATGTGCAGAAAATATAAACAAGACTGTGCCTTCAGTAGAATAAATGCTTCACAAATTGTGCAAGATATCATACTAAGGCTGCGGTCTCCCCATGACAGCTGTCTTAAAATATAAACATACATCAACTGCCTGTGTTTCTCAGAACAAACTAGAAAGGGCGGCACACCTAGAAAAAAATCGTATCATCCCAGTGATGTGCATACTGATTTTGGGAACCATTGGAGTAAAAAGGAAAAAAGAGGACTAAGTGATCTTTCATGCACTCCCAAATGACTGACCAGAGTTATTGATTCAATTTTCCTTGCTTATTTGCTTCAATGCTAAACAAAATGGAAGATACTAGATAACCCTTTAAGGCAACATGTGTTTATTCTGTATAATTATAACTGTTCAATTATGACTGGATATTATCATTAACGTTGCCTAACAGACTGATATCTAGCTTTTTAAAAAATATAAATAAGAGTCTATTAAACTTTATACCAAATCAGCAAAAAACACAGAATACAGTTAAATGTTAGTAATTTCACTGTTAAGGAAAATGGTATTTAGAAAGAGTAATATATTTGGAAAAAAAAAAGTAAAGTCTAAATCTGAACAAAAATACTGCTTTGGAATGCTCCCCAAAACTTACTCACAAGGCAAACAGATTTGTAAGTGTGATAATCCAATAATGCATGGCACATCTTTAATCAGTTACAGTACTTGAGTCCCCAGTTTTCAGTCTTTGCAAAACAATAATTGTATGAAATGTTTTAAAGGTCTTCAGATGTCTAAAATTAGTTTTATCAACACATTAACCTCATATCAACTTAATTTATTAAGATGTCCAAATGCTAATCTTTTTGATGGTCTTATTTTATGTAGTGATATACACAGCATTTAGCACTGATACTTAGCACCTGCTACTTTCATAATCTAGATTTCAACCACATAAAGAAATTCAGGGCAGTAGTTCAGTCCTTTGTTCTTAATTACAAACCTTCAGCAGTGGTCAGCAGTAACATGTTTAGATTTAAAACAGGATTAGAGGTGAGCTATTGCAAAGACTGCAGAATGTTGCCCAAATCCTTACAACTGCTGACATCCCATTCTTGATTTTCTTCTCAAGACATGGCTACAGGCCACAATTGCTTAGCAGAGAATGGTAGTGTTTCACAAGGCTAAAGATTTACAGATGCTCCCTCATATAACACAGTAAGGTTCCCTTGGTAACCTGGATTTTCTGCAGTAAAGAAGGGTTGTGCTGAAACAGCGCCTCAGCTCCCTGTTGGAGAAAATGCAGACAAAAGGATTGATTCCAGCTTGGGCAAAACTCATCCAGACAGCGGCCGTTAGAAATCCCCCTGGTACTACAGGCCCTCTTGCAAAAACTCTCCAGTAACAGGCTACCAAATAGGGACCCCACAAGGTCAGAAAGAGGAATGTCATGATGTAGAACATTCTGCTGATTCTCTTCTCCATTTTGAACTCATCTAAAACCAGTAGCCTTCTCCTGCCTGTGGTGTTTGCGTTTTGCCTGATTCCCAACAAGGTTGGAGGTGTGGGACCCCTTCCAAATCCAGCCAGCCAATTAGCAGCTGCTTGACCACTTGCTCCAGGACCATGAAAAGTCCAGTTCTGGCTCACTGCTGCAACAAACTGGACTGGCTTCATTTTCCTGCGATCGTGAACAAAAAATATCAGCTTGAGGTAGACAAGCTGTGTGGCTAGGAGGATAAGGGCAAGGAGAAGCATAAATCCCAAGGAATCATTAGCCCTGAAGGAACGATGCTGGAAAGTGCATTGGTCTTCCTCCCTAATGAACGAGTAGGTGCCCACATCTAAAACTGGGGGGAAAGCCATGGCTACAGAGAGGGTCCACACCATACAGATCACAGCCAAACAAGTCCAGAAGGTCAGCCTTTTCGTATAAAAACGGTGGTGGGCAATAGCTAAGTATCTGGTGACGCTTATGCAGAATAACATGAAAGCAGTGTGAAAGCAGGACAAAACCCCCAAAAAGGCAATCACTTTGCAAGTAAGAGTCCCATACGTCCAAGTAGAGCCATTTTTTACAGAGGTGAAAACAAATGGGAAACAAATTGCAGATCTGAGGATATCTGAGCAGCAAAGATCCAACAGGAAGTAGTAAGGAGCTCTATGCAAGGTCTTATCTTTGACTAGCAAAATGGAGATCAGAAGGTTACCCACCACACTGACTCCTATTATGAAACCCAGTGAAGTCAGTTTCAGAAAAGCTGTTAAAGGAGAGAGATTTTGTAAAATGTTGTCAGCTGCATGGCTGTAGTTCGCCATAGATGGATGGATGATATGTATATTGCCTCAGTCAAGTCTCATGATCTATATATAAGAACAAGGAAAAAATAGATCCATACATCTTACTGAAAATGTAATCCACAAACAGAACTGATCTTGTGTCTAGTCATACAGTACATCCTCTTCGTTCTGATTTGTCATGCCATCAAAATATCTGAAAAAAAATCGAGCTATCAGTTCTTAAGTTAACAAGAAATGATGTCAGAAAGTGCTAACAAAGATGTTAATTTATGGAGAACCGAATGAAGTTGTAAATTTGAGTACTATTGTTTGTTTTTAAAAATCACGAGGCTTTTTTTTATATACTTACTGTTTAGCATGATCGATTATTGGCATTTCACTGATTTGGCTTGCTACAGTTTCAGAACTGACCGGTGCTCCTTATATTTGGTAGCTTATATGATTTTACAGTTAAAGCCTCAGAGATTTTATGAATCAAAAGATTCCCAGTTTGCAAGCCCAAGAGTTAATCACTGACATCTTTTAAAAAAATCCCCAAAGACTGCTGATATTTTGACATTACCTACATTTATTTTATGGCTACAGTATTTGTCAATGTTTTAGAGGCAGCTGCTGTGTTGATACGGATCACACCCAAAGAAACCCTGCAGAATTTATGTTTTTTAACCCAAGTCACCAAAGCACATTAATCACACTGTGTTAGTTCATGCACATTGTAAGAGAAACAGTATTCATTATCCCCCTCCCTTCCTCCTATAAACCATAATTTTATCATTTAGGCTTTCAAATAAACAGGTATGCCAGACAGTTGATAGCACTATGCTTTAGGGTCTCCCCTACCCCCCTCCCTCCCCCCCCGTTTTAATGCAAATCTTTAAAGCCTCAACATAATTCATAATAAGCAACCGTCAGTGTAAATACTGAGCAAAAATAGGCAACACACCCAAGATATAATGCCCATCCTTTTGGGAGGGCTGCTTTTGGTTATGCTTAAATAAACATAAAATAAATTGATTATATTTTTTTAGCTAATTAGGGCTCCGCGATTCCCACTAATCCTCCCAATGAATCGCACCGGAATACATTTCATGCAATAAAATAAAATAAATTAAAGAACTGTCTGCTGCTGCTGGGGGTTTTTTGTTGGTTGTTTTTTTTTTTCTCCCTCCAGAGCCAGGGACAGGAGCCACAGCAGGCATCATCAGGCTCCTTCGTTATTCACTCGAAGTGTTTCCTATGCCACCTCGGGTGTACAAAGGATATTCCCACTGAATCCCAGCAAAATCCTTCCATTCTTACCGTCCACAAAAGAGCCTGATTGCTGCTGTGTAAACAGAGGCTGATCAGATCATGGCATCGTTTTAAAACCATGAAATCAGGCTCCCCCTCCCCCCC